CTGAGGCAGGAGGATGATCATAAGTTTGGGGCCAGCCTGGGCTACAGCAGGGAAGAGAGACTGGAGCAGTTTCCAATAAATGAGACCTCAGAGCTCCAGACCCCCGTGGCAGGTGAGGCGGGTGGGACACAGACGACACCGGGAAACCCATCAGCATCCCCGTGCAGGAGCAAGCCCTGGCAGCTGCATCCACACGTGTGAAACAATTCGGGGAGAGTGCTGACACACAACCACTCTGCACACAGCTCCCTTCCACACTCCTGAACCGATTAGATGAAAACGCCTCGATTTAGATAACTGGAAATTGCTTTCGGAGCCTTAATTTCCTATTAGCTCATTAATCTATTCAGACTCCCAACAAGACAGCTGATGATAATTCCGGAGGAAGTGGGCACTTAAGAGGAGAGCTGTGGAGGCGGGGAGAGGGGTTGGGCAGGAAGGAGAAGTTTCTGGCTTCCTGGGTGGAGGGATATCCCAACATTCATTTGTCAAGCCAGTAATGGTGTTAGCTTTTATTAAATAGCACTCATAATGGGCCAGGTAAGGTGAGAACTCCAGAGGGTAATTACCTTGTTGATTTTTTTTTCTTTTTAACAGTTTTAGTAGTGACTTCTCTCACAAGCAACTTCAGGGGAGAAGGGCTTACTGCGGCTCACATTTTGAGGGTACATTACGTCATGCTCGGGAAGACATGGTAGCAGGGGCGTGAGGCAGCTGGTCACGTGGCCCCCACAGTCAGGAAGCAGAAAGAGATGAACGCTGATGCTCGGCTCACTTTCTCTTTCTTATTCCATCCAGGACCCCAGATGGTGCATCCAACAGGTAGGGTGGCTATTTCCACCTCAATCGATCTAACCTAGAAACTCCCTCACAGACATGCCCAGAGGTGTGGTTCCTAGAGATTCCTGATCCTGTCAAGTTGTCAATCAACAGTAACTGTCTAATGCGGCAGACATTATAAACCCATTTTAGGGAAAAAATGGAGGCACAGAAGTGATCACATGACCAGCTTGCGGCAGCATCAGGAGTCACAGACACGTCTGCCCTGCAGCCTAGGCTTCTGATCATGTGTCCTCTCCATATGTCTTACATACACACATGCTGTGTGCATTTCTGAACAGATGATGATACACAAGACCCAGATGAGAGAAAAGCTTGAAATTCCCAGAGCCCTTGAATAAAAACTGTAGCCTCTTACCAGGGCCCTTCCTATTTCCCTACCCACCCCCTTCCTTCCTTCCTTCCTTCCTTCCTTCCTTCCTTCCTTCCTTCCTTCCTTCATTTCTCCTTCCTCCTTTCCTTCCTTCTTCCTTTCCTTCCCTCCCTCCCTCCTCCCTTCCTCTCTTCTCTCTCCCTTCCTCTTTCTTTGTCTCTTTCTTTCAACAGCATCTCACTCTACAGCCCAGGCTGCTCCCCAACCCCAGCCCCTCCTGCCTCTGCCTCCTGAGTACCGGGATGACAAGTCCCCGGGCGTGCACGGTGCCATGCCCGCTCTGCTCTTTACAGCAGCCAACAGCATCCCATTCCACCATCTTTTTAGCCAAGTTCACTTCATGCACCATCTACCCACCCCCCACCCACCCACAGGTAAATTCCACCAGTCCAGGGACTTTGTCCATTTTATCTTCTTATTGTTGCTTCTGGCGCCTGGAAAACCCTTCAGTACAGAGTATTAATGTTTTAAAATTAACCATCCTTGGTTCAAAAATCTGAAATCGAAAATGGCCTCCGATTTGAAACTTTCTGAGCATCCGTAGGGCCACAGGGGGAGCACCCCACGCCTAACCTCAGAGCTGAAATATAAGTTTCCAAAAGTACTGCACAATTGAAGTTTAGGTTTTGGGCCTAGTTTAAACTTGGGCCCCATCTCCAAGACACCTCATCACATATGCAAATGTGCGCATGATGCAGATGTTCTAAACTCAGAATGCCTTTCAAACATAAAACATACTTTTGGTCCCAAGCACTACAGATAATGACTTCTTAGCCTGTGATATTAATTATCCAGCTGGTAAATATTAGGTGAATGACTGGTGAAATAGCCTTGCCCACTTCCTTAAGAAGTGACCTCCAGCCGGGCGGTGGTGGCACACACCTTTAATCCCAGCACTCAGGAGGCAGAGGCAGGCCAATCTCTGTGAGTTCGAGGCCAGCCTGATCTACAGAGTGAGATCCAGGACAGGCATCAAAACAACACAGAGAAACCCCATCTCAATGCCCCCCCCCGACACACACACACACAAAAAAGCAGTGACCTCCAACCTCCTCATTCTCAGGGTTACCTCTCTGAAAGGTCACTTGCCACTGTTCTTCGCTCCTGTCCTTCAGTTCCACTCAGACTCTTTTCTCCACAGTGAGTCTTTCCCCTAACTCTGCGACCACGGAGCCTGCATATTATCTGTTCCTACCCCTCACCAACCCTCCTAGGAGCCCATCCAATGCGTCCACATTTTTGTCAGTCCTTGAAAACACATGCAAATAAACGCCTACCCCCTCACTTTAAGTGAGGCTCCCCGAGGGTTTTTATCCGTGGGATAAGTGTGGGTTTCAACTGTTAACTTCAGTGTGTGTGTACAAATACATCATGGAGCTGGCTCCTGTTCCCATTGTAGCTGACAGAGGTATGTGGTTGGAACAAAAGCACACCCAGACACCATGCCAGCTGCAGCAGCCACTGTTAGAGTCAAAGGGCCGAGCGCATTGGTGAAGTCATGAATTCTGACCTCGCCCTTCCATGTGCCAGGAGCTACTTTGCATAAGGTGATGTGAGAGGCGGTGGGGGAAATGGTCCCCGATGACAGTGTGAGGCGAGGGCATATCAGTGACTCCTTCGTGCAGTCCAGTGATGGGCGCCAACATCATGTCTGCTCTTCAGAGGAGAAAAAGCCCAACATTGCAGGCCTCTTAAGACTTCAAGCAGAAATGGGACCCAGACTTAGTGCTGGTGGCCTCCAGAGCCTCAGCTCTGCGCGGCTGGCCTGTCCCCAGCCCCCTCTCCCCACCCTTGGCAGGGTCTCAGCCTTTGCTCATTACTCCTTGAACAGAAGACAGGGAGGAAGGCCACCTCTGGGTCCCACCTCTAGTGCTGAAAATTGAAAAGGCTTGAGGAGTGTTCAGCCTTGCTGACTCCTGGCTGCGTCCCTGTCACCTAATTACTTGACTTCAAAGGCTCCACGCAGTAGGTGTGAGGATGTGAAAGCCATTCCCCTCCCCCCACAGAACACAGCATGACTTGATACAGCCAAGACGTCTCCAAGGCAGCAGCTGTACTAGGGAGAATGGGCAGCCTCTGAGCCAGACCTAAGCACCTGCCCATGCACATCTCAGAGTTGGAAAGCTGAGGGGTCACCTGAGAGCCCAGAACCACAGAGGACAGCAGTTCCAAATGCTAATATACAGCAATTACTGTCCCAATCACCCTTAGACCATGGAGCTAACAGATCCCCAGGGGCTGGAAATAATTAACTCTCCCCATAGCCCAGGCTAGCAGGGAGCTCAGTGTGACAGACTTACTCAGGTGAGGCCACCAGAAAGGCATTCTGCAAGATGCCTGAACAGGCCTAGGAGACACACACACACACACACACACACACACACACACACGGGGGGGGGGGGCAGGGGAGACTCTTACTGAGTGTCTTCTATCAAGCAGACACATGTCCACCCCTATCTTTCCCATAGTCAAATGTTTCTGTTTGGTAATTGCTGGACCTGAGTAGACAGTTAATACATGTGTGCATATACACACACACACACACACACACACTCACGTGAGGACAAGTATATGAGGTGATGTGCCCATGTTGTTTACACAGCTACTAAGTGGCAGGAACAGGATTTGAACCTGGTTTAATGTGCCTCCAGAGCCCATGGCTGGTGCCAATGCTTTCTCTTGCCTCCTTCCTAACCTTCCATCAGAATGACAGAGAATGTCTATAAGGAAGGGGTAAGGAGTGGAGGTCTGGGCGGTCCCACCTCTCGACCAGAATTAACATCCAACATGAAGCCATAGAAAGAAATGGAGCAGGAGTTAAGAGACCTGAGTTCAAATCCTTCCTCCTACTTCTTAGCTGGGACTTTTCCAAGTCGAGACACAATTTTTACAGACAGAAAATGGGGAAGTCATGACACCCTTTCGGAGACAGTGCATGATGAGAAAGAAGAGAAGAAAAAGAACTTTGCAAATTACCAAAGCTATCAGTAAACCACAGGACTGGAGCCAGGCTATCCACTGTTTTTATAAATAAAGTTTTATTGGACCGAATCCATGGCCATAACTCTTTCTGAACTGTCTGTGGCTACTTTGAAAATACATGAATCAGTTTTGAGCAGCTGCAAGGGAAACATGAAGGTTCCCAAGGACCATGGAGCCTAAAGTATTTGTTACAGGACAACTAGAAGAAAAGTTTGCTGACACTAACCTCTGACACTGTATTAGTTACTTTTTCTGTGACAGAATACGTGGAGAAACTAGAAATCAGGGGACACAGTCCACCACGGCGGGAAAGCCTGGTGGTGGGAGCATGAGGTCATATCATAGCAGCAGTGAGGAAGGAGAGTTGAGGCAGGAGGGGAGCTGGCCTAGAACAGTTAAGCCCTATTCCTATAACCCAATGTCTGCCAGCCAGACCCCCACCCCATGTTCAAAAGGATCCGAAACGTTAGCTGGGGACCAAGCATCCCATAACATGAGACTGTGTGAAACACTTCACATTCAAAACTATAGTAGAGGCTCTGAGCAGGGGAGACCCCACCGGTCCCAGCACATGGTGTTATGTTAGCCTTCCTACTGTCTCTTCTCAGCTCTGGCTTTACTCAGAACCATTTTCCTTGATACCCTACCCAAACACACAGCTTCACCTGGGACCCTTTCTGAAGCACAAAGCAAATGTCTCTCCTCAGGGTCAAGAACTCACGACTCCCTGGAGAGCGCCAAAGCCCATCCCAGTGCTGCCTGATATCTGGTATTGTAAAAAGTCCCTTAAAGGGAAATCACTCACTTGCAGTTTTTACACTTGAGGCCAAAAAGCATCCCTTTCCCGCAGACAGTGCACGTCTGAGACATCCAGTACTTGGTGGAAAACCTGTAAGAAAGAAATGGGAAATGTCCAAGGTGAGGCAGTGGTCGTGGGCCCATCTCCAGGAGGATGTACCTCTAGATCCTGCAAGAGGGGATGACGGGAAGCCTATAAACCCTGGATTCTGGCCCTGCTTGTTCCAAAACAGGTGATAATTAAGTTCAATTAAGTTTGCTTAAACCAGGAAGCCTCAGTATCCTTGCCTATAAAGTGGAAGCAATCTTGACATTGACCTTGGGAGTTACATGTTGAAGGTGTCCTAACACCTAGTACATATGAAACGCTCAATGAATTGGTCTGTGTCAGTCATTACCTTGAGTGTTCATTATGGTCATTTATTCACTCGACAAACACTGTAGGTGGTCTGCAAGTTCAAGTCTATAAGCGAGCAGTGGACCTCCAAATTCAGTAGCAGAGGAGAGCTGCCCCTGACAAATGAAAGCACCTTCCCCCAGTCACCGTCACCTGCTGCAAATACAGTGTGGAAGTCCCCACACATCACAGTCACCAAGGCCAGTTGGAAGGCATCAGATTAACTCTCCGATCACCCCTCCTGTGCTGGGCCGTGCTTTTGCCTTGAGATAGGAGACAGAGGAGCGGCTGGATCCGGCAAAAGTATTGAAGGTTCCCGGGTCACAGTTAATTTTAATTTTCAATTTGTGCCACCGTCGGCAGTGGTTGTAATCTCCACTGCCTCCTCCGAGTGTCAAAGGGGAAACTTGGAGGTTATGTAACTCAGAGATGGAGAACTCTGAGGGGGGAAGGCGGCTCCCCTCCGCTGCCATCCCCTCTTTTGGGATCTGGGTCAGCCCTTCGAACACAGCCAGCCAGCTTCAGCCTGGAGCTGCCACAGCTAAGCAAACAGCAGTATTCACCACGGAGATGCTGGCTTGCTGATGCTCCCTCTCCAGCTTTGGACTTGGGCTTAGTTAAGCCCCTCTGGGTCTTAGCAGGGCTTATCGGGTCTATTCTGCAAGCTAGGGCAGCTCAGGGAAGGGGATGGCAAAAGACCCACTGGGCAGCAAGGCAGGAATGCAGGGGGGGGGGGCAGGTGTGAGGGTCCGCTGGTAGATGTCTCCCTGTCTCCCCTCTTCAGTTTTGGCCTGTCCCCTAGGTTTCCTGGCTTTGTCCTGTTGCCTGGCTCTTGCTGTGACAATCCCAATGACAGAGTGAGATCTGCTGCGGGTGGTGGGTGTTTTTTTGTGAGACAGCATTTTATCATGCTGCCCAGGCTATTTGAACTCTTAACTCTCTGCCTTACCCTCCTGTGTGCTGGGACTGCTAGTGTGCACCACTAGATCTGACAACGTAGGGAATGGGGTGTTAACACATGTTTCTTTTCAAGGCTGGGGGTCTCTCATTCCTGACATCTAGCCTGGGGTGGGGGGGTGGGAGGGGGATGCAGGGTGTGGCTAAAGAGTAACACTCATCAAGGGGCCGTCGCCTCACTAGGAAGCCAGCTATGGGGCCCTGAGATGGTCAGCCTGCTTCACTCCCCTGGACATCAGTATCAGAAGGTGGGGGGCATCAGGGCAATGGTAAGAAAGCCCAGAGGGTAGAGCCAGGCAGGTGAGACTGAAGGAAAAGTGGAGCCAACCCAGGGGTGTGGCTGAGCCCCAAGTGTGACCAAACTGGAGGGATGGCTGGGCCAGAGATGGGTCTGATTCAGAGGTGGAACTGAACCCAGGGATGAGCTGAACCAGGGATTGTGGCCAACCCAGGGGTAGAGCTGAACAAAGAAACATTTTAAAAGGCCCTCATCTGAGTCCTCTTCGCTCCACAGATCAGCCTGTAGTCACCGACAACGGACCTGTCTGTCACTACGTCTCACAACTTCCATCAAGGTCTTTCCAGTTTCCAGTTGTGACATTTTTTTTTTCTTTAAGAACTGATGATGAGCTGTCGCGGGGCAAGAGCAGCCTTGCTCCAGGCTGAGGCTGTGTGTAGATGGAGTTTTCCTGCCTGGCCCACAGTCAGGACAAATCTCTCTCACCTGCTAGTCCCACAGCTGCTCAGACCTGACCAAGTAAACACAGAGACTTATATTGGTTTCAAACTGTATGGCCATGGCAGGTTTCTTGCTAACTGTTCTTACAGCTTAAATCAATCCATTTCCATTAATCTATACCTTGCCACATGGCTCGTGGCTTACCGGCATCTTCACATGCTGTTTCTCATCATGGTGGCTGGCAGTGTCTCTCTCTGACTCAGCCTTCCACTTCCCAGCTTTATTCTCCTCCTTGTCCCGCCTACAGCTGTGTGTGTGTCTGTGCCTGGGGTTTCTCCCCTCAGCCGCTGACAGACCTCTGGGGCCTGTGGAGGTCCCTCTGTTAACTGGCCAGCTCCCCAGGGACACAGACCCATGTCCCATAGGCGCGGACACTGGGAATCTGCAAGTTGGAGGGATAGCTCCATGAAGGCGCAAACAAGACACCCAGCTGGCTCCCCCAGGTACAGAAACTCACCAGGGGGGGATCTCAGATCACAGGGGCCGAGCTAATTATGCTATAATTAGCGGTCAGTTCCCTCCCTCATCTGCCAGGGCCTAAGTCTCCTCATCTATCAGTGAGTTCCCCCATCCTGGTCTGACTCTGTGCCTCCCCCCTGAGTCTACATTGCGGCAACATGTAGAAAGCTGAATTTGGGAGAATCAAGAAGTTGTTGGAAACAAATTCTAAGTCATGGAGGATCCTGGGGAAGGCCTCCTGCTGGCCTCCTGCTCTGGGTAACCTCTAGCAATGATTTTAGCTGGCCATCCAAAGGAGTTTCCCGGGTGAAGAGCCCCCACGTGGAGCCTGAAGTTCTTTATGATACAATGAGGTGTGTGCACGGCCCTTAATATATCGTTTCATTTGTAGGTAGAATGTATGAACTTATCCCTACAGGAAAAGAAAAAGATTTTCTTCTCTAACTATATAACTTTCATGCCACACTCTGTAACCTGCTAGACTTGTTTCATGGATGTACAGTTTAGTGTTATTTCTTTAAAGGTCTTGATTATGATATCCCAGGGTCTTCCTTTATTTCATTGTACGCTGTGTGATTTTTTTTTTGATAATAAAAATGACAAAAAAATGGAGTCCAGAGAGGCTAAGCAATTTCTCACAGCTACAAAGCTTTAGTAGGAGGAAAATGGAACTCAGGTCAGTCTGAGCATAAGGCCTCTGCTTTTTAACTGTCCTGTGTGGATTTGATAAGGGCGAGGCTATGATGCAGACACCTCAATCCAACAAAAGACAAAAGGGCGTGGTGGTGTGGAAGCTGGGGATGGGCACATTCCTGGCACCCACAGGCTTCAGCACCCCCCCAACCCCTACTCCACACACACAGGCACAACCTCCTACCTACCTGTGCTTGATGGAGTTGCCAAGGTCTCTGCGTGGGATCTGTGGTGACCACCGTGGTACAGACAGTGTGTCTGTGGAGACAAAAACAGACAGGAAGGTCAAGGGCTGAGCCAGCTCTACCTGGGCCCTGGAAATAAAAAGGAGCCCCATCCACTGGCCTCACGCCAGGTAGAGCTCCAGTTTAGGTCATGGGCTCCACTCGCAGGAGGCTTCCCAGGCAGGGCAGGCAGCAGATGCCATCAAATATGTCAACTGAGGTCAGGTATGGGGAAGCCCACCTGTCATTGCACTGTTCAGGCTGAGGCAGGAGGATGATGAATTCACGGTCATCCTGGGCTACAGGGTAATAGTCTGTCTCAGAAAGAAAAAAAAGAATAAAGAAAGAAAGAAGCTGCGTGTGTGATCTGGTGAAGTGCCTCAGTGGATGGATAAAGGATCTTGCTGCCGAACTTAAAGACCCAAGTTCGATGCCCAGGTCCCACATGGTAGAAGAATAAAACTAACTCCTGTAACTTGGCTTCTGGCCACACATGCGCCCACATACATACACAAATCAATTAATGAAAAGTTACATTTTGTAATCTAAAGATAGAAGAGAGAGAGAGCGAAAAAGCAGGATGGGCACCGTGGAAAGAACACAACCGAGCATGATCTCGGCCGGCTTCATGGTTCTTAGCGTATGCCAGGCGTGGGCTGAGTGACTCCCATGCCGGCCCCCCAGCTGAACACACAGGAAAAACTAAGGCTTGGGGGGGGGGGGGCGGTGTCACTTGCTCGAGGCCACTACATCTCATACCCTGCACAGTGGCTGGGAATCCCGGTATGAGGGACCCCAAGCCTGTGTCCCTGGTCACACAGTCGTAAGGCAGTCGATTCCAGACACCTCTTCCTACACCCACATGCACCTTCCCTGCAACACCTACCTTACAGCCACATGATCACTTAACATTTTGTGTTGGGTCTCCTTTTTGGTTGCTCAAATATTTATTTCAAGAGCAGGCTCTAAGCCCAGCATGGTGGTACCTATTTGTAATCCCAGCACTTGGTGGCAGAGGTAAGGTTGAAGCAGGAGGATGATGGTGAGCTTGAGGCTGGCCTGAGGTTGCATATAACAAATACACCAGCCAGGCAGTGGTGGCGCACTTTAATCCCAGCACTCGGGAGGCAGAGCCAGGCGGATCTCTGTGAGTTCGAGGCCGGCCTGGTCTACAGAGTGAGATCCAGGACAGGTTCCAAAACTACACAAAGAAACCCTGTCTCGGAAACAAACAAACAAACAAAATAATAATACACCAACAAACACAAAGCTGAACAGAAAGCTCTTCAGATATTGCAGATAATGACTTTCAGAATGTCCAGCTGTGTGCAATCTCAACCCATACTAGAATGAGCAAGTGAGTGCAAGGATGTCTAGGTGAACGGGATGGAGGAAGGAAGGATACATGGATGGATAATGGATGGGTAGGTAAATAGGCAGATGGATGAAGGAGATTTGTGATGGAGGATAGATGGATAGGCGGATGGCTGCATGTATGGATGGATAACGCTGAGTGGGTGGATGGACGGATGGACAAATAAGAATGAGAAAGAAATAATAAAGCACACAGACTTCAGACTGGGTACCTGGTCCTGCTTTTTCTTTTCTTTCTTTCATTTTTTCCCTATGCCTTAGGCCAAATAGGAGCAAACCCCATAGTCACAAATGACCGAGTTCTAGGTCCTCTGAGACCTTGAGCATAAGCCCCAGCACACCTCCACTGCCTGCCCCCCTCACCAGCCTCCTGGAAGACCTTGCAGGCAGTAGACATAAAACAGCAGCTGAGTGAACTCGTGCTGCCTCAGACAGACAGGGAGAGAGGCAAGTGGCCAACCCCATGCCAGCGCCCACTTCTCAGCCAGATGGATGGAGCCTGCTGGGGACTTCAGGGTTGCAGATGTGTGCCTCATTTTTCACAGCCATTGTTATGGAGTGTCGCTCTCGTTGGGAGAGCTGGGCATGTCAGAACACGTCGGAGAGCCTTTAACCCCAGTCAGCTCTCTCTTCTGCCTAGTGATGGTCACAGTCATCTGAAAGCTGTTTTCTGAGACCTCTATGCCGCCCTCGCAAAGCTGGGACCCTTTTTTGGCAAGGGCCGATGGTTTTCCAATCCCCAAATGCTGAAGAAAACTGAGGAGGTGGCGTGATAGAACCATAAGACCCACAGCCTGCAGAATGTTTAACTAACAAAGCCCATTTTACTACTTCATTCAGTTTCTGAGGGAGATAGAAAAAGAGAAAAATGATGGTCTTTAAAAATACTTTTCCATGTCAACGCCTCTTGCAGACTGACATCAGACATGGGAAGAAAGACATTACTCATTAACTTGGAAAGGCTGAACAGTAAAGGAAGGTCAACCTCCTATGAGTAATCTACAAAACAGGAAGTACTGAATGAGAGTCCACTCAAGGCCATTAGTAATGCCTGACTAGAGCTGAGTTGAGAAGGACTGAGAGTAAGAGCAGCAAGATTGATTACTAATATCAGCCATAAGTGAGAAAGGAGGTACTCCTAACAAGTCTTGAGATTGATTAGTAATGTCTGCATGGGTGAGGAAGGAGGTAGTCCTCACATGTCTTGTATACATTTACCTCCTCTACAAAAGCAAGACCAAATCTACACCTTTGAATTCACCTCGGAGCATAGTGCCTAGGGCTAAGTATGTTCTTAGCACAAGTTTGATGAACCCAAGATTCTTATAACAGAAACAGTTTATTGAACACTTAGTATGTGCCAAGAAATCTTCTGTGTGTACTTAATAGCTAGAAGTTATGCCTCCTTGCATCCTGTGCCGTAGCTATTCCCTTTGTACAAAGGAAGGCCAGGGAACTCAAGGAGGTGCACTGACCTGGTCAAGGTCACACAGCCAGGTGCCAGTAGAAGCATGTGTAAATGTACTCCCTAAAGGGACTAGGGAGATGGCTCTTTGGGTAAAGTGCCTACTGTATGAGCATGAGGACCTGAGTTCAGATTCCCAGCTCCCGTGAAATATTTGGAGATTTCTGAAGACATTCTGAAGGTATCATACTGTGTTTGGGAGTTTGTTATTGGCAGCTAGTGGGATGAAGCCAGAGGCTCTATTTAGCATCCCCTAATACATAGGTGAGAACTTTCCCCATACACGCAACAACTTAAAACATCCCGAGTATCAGTTACACCAAGGTTGGGACTCCTGATCTGGAAGTTTCTATAACTGCCTGCCCCCTCCCCCAAATTAAGCATCTCAGATGATGCCCCCAGGCTCCTTCGGGCACAGAATGAGTCATCTCGGGCTATGAGCATCTCCCATTAGCTCTGTGTCTTGCTTAGTCCTCATCCATCCCCTTTGCCCAGGGCAGAAGCAATTAAGCTCCAGGGCTGGCTTTTCCGTTCCAGGCTCGGCTGGAGGGGTACATCCTGTCAACTGCATTAAGCTGCAAAGCCTCATTAGTCTGGAGGCTTCGCTCCCTAGGCTCGGCTTCGTCTGTGGGCGTGAGACTCGAACTCCAATGGCCTCTCTCTGCTTCCTTTGTTTGGGTTTCATTAAACTTGCCAGTGCAAGCCTCAGAGCAAAGGCAAATGGTTGAAAGGGAAGAGGGAGGGGGAAAAGAAAGATATCGGAGACTCGAGGCCTTATCGTAACAGGGAAGGCAAATAACATTTACGGCAATTAAACCGATCTAGGAACTTCTGCTTAACAACCAAAGCGTCTATTAAGATGTCTCCGTAGCTTCGTGGAAACCTCTTTCCCACCCTAATTTTCTGATAACAAGGCAGAGTCTTGCCCAGCACGGCTGCCTTCATCTCAGGGGAAGAAAAATAGACACCTCTTTCGAGATATTTCCATCGCCAGCACATGGAAAGAGGGAGACTTGGGAGGAAGACTGTCCTTGTTCCTAGGTCTGGCTGTAGAAACCCTTTAAGACACACCCCCCCAAATGGAACAGGAGATACAACCCAGGAGCCACAGCCTTTGAGACCACCTTGGAAGTCCAAGAACAGATGGGGCCAACGTTGATAAAGTGTCCAAGTTTTATAAACATTCTGTTTTGTTTGATTTGGTCGGGTTTTTGAGATGGTCTCAGGTGGCCTAGGCTGGCTTCAAGCTTGCTATGTAGCCCAGGCTAGCCTTGAATTCATAATGCACCTGTTTCCACCCATTTCAGACTTGTGACTCTCTGAGCTATAAGGTGAATACTCGTATGTGGTCTTTAAACCACTGGGTTTGTGGTGATCTGTTAGAGCAATGGTACAAAGCCCTCACAGCTCCAGTCCTGTGCCAGGTGTGTGGCTTCAAGAATCTGGGACGTAACAAACCGCACAGCCAAGTTTTCTATGCGTAAGCATCTCCTGGGGAAATAAAAAGCAAATGGCTGAACCAGAGAGCGCCTTTTTGGAAAATAAAACAGTCCAGACTTTGGGGATTTAAGGCAATGGGAGCCTGGACACCAACACTAGAATAGTTGCAGGCTGTGCCTGGCATTGGAAGTGTATGAGCTCCCTGGTGGCCAAGGAGAGCAGATCCTGCCTGCAATTCCAGCATCCCAAGGAGAGAACAGGATAGCCTCAGAGCAAGCTGGCCAGAAAATAGCCATGCTGGTGAGCTCTGGGCTGGACTGAGAGACCCCACCTCCGTGAGGAAAAAGAGTGACCAAGGCTGACTCCCAACATCAGCTTCAACACAAATGGAAAAAGAAAAGGAATCCTCGGTACGTCAGGGAAGATGCTGATGCCGTCTCCATTTTAGAGATGGCAATTTGAGGCAGATCTAAGATGTGACCTGTGGTGAGTCCTTGGGCTAGGAACAGCCCCTGAGCATCAACGTCCTCACAGCTGCTTCACTGGACAATTGAAAGGCTATACAAAGAAATGTGCACAGAGCTTTGGCCGCCGAACTTGGCGTCAATGGAAAGTCTTAATCACGGTGCCTGTCCCAGACAACAGCAGGACTCCCTCAGCCTGTATCTACTCCTTGGACATGGCTGTGGCAGAGTCCCTGACAGAAGACTCAGGGAGGAACGATTTGAATCCACCTCCCAGTTTCTGAGGGTCTC